AAAGACCAGAAGAGTTGTGGGATGACATCACGAACATCATACAGGAAGAAAGCAAAAGGTCATTAAGAAGACAAGAAAGAGGGGAAAAATCAAAGTGAATGTCAGAAGAGACACTGAAACTTGCTCTCCAGTGGAGAGATGCTGAAGCAAATGTGAAAGCAAAAGGTGAGCCACTGAGTGGGAAGAGTCTCAAGATACAGTGGCCACAATGGACACAGATGCCGGCCAAGATGAGGATGGCAGAGGACCAGGCAGTGCTTTCTTCTGCTGTTCAAGGGGCTGCCGTGAGTCAGGGCCCACGCCAGTGACGGGGTCACGGGAATGCTGCCCCATGGCTTTCACCATCATCTACTGGTTTGGAGCAGGACATGGGTCCTGCCTGCCCTCAAGGGAGAGACTCACTGGGGTCAGCCTCAGGCAGACTCCCAGTCCCTAAAGACAGCCAGTTTACATTTTTCTCTAACCCTCCCAAACTTTTTAGATGCTTCCAAAGATTTCCAGCGTAAAATGATCTTTTATGAGCATTGTTCATGACCCAAGTGTAGATCTAAGGCACCCTGGTAAGGAGCTCTGATAGCATAGTGGTTATGAGCCAGGCTGTTAACCTCAAAGTCAACAGTTCAAAACTACCAGCAGTTCCGTGGGAGAAAGATGAGGCTTTCTGTTCCCATAAAGATTTACAGCCTTGGAAAACCCTGTAAGGGTTTATTATGAGTCAGAAACAATCAGTACACAACCACCATCACCACCAAGGCACCCTGGAGATTCAAACCCAGGAGCTGTTGTGGGAGAAAGATGTGAGTCTGCTTCTGTAAAGCCCACAGCCTAGGAAACCCTATGGGGCAGTTCTCTGCGCTCTATAAGTTCTATAGGGTTGCTATGGATAGGAACAGACTCAACGGCAATGGGATTGGGGGTTTTGTTTTTTATTGGTAAATATTCAACATAGAATTCCTTGGTAGGAGATTTATTTAAATAACTTTCTATAGATGGCAGCCAAGATAACTCTATGGGGCAGTTCTCCTCGGCAAGTCACGAGGCTGCCATGTGTTGGAACTGACTTAATGGCAAAGAGTGTGGGTTTGGGGGGTTTTTTTATTGGCAAATATTTAGGTTTTCACATTTTTAGGGTATGTGTGTCATGTTTTTACTATTGAAATAAGTGCTGCAAAAATAACTTCCAAAATTCATGTATGAGGGGCCTTCTAAACATTGGTTGAAAAATGGAAAGAAAAGATAATGGGGTTTTCCCATGAACTTTTGAGGCACGGTGGCTCCATACCATAAGGACTGGACTGTAAACCACAAGGTCCGCAGTTCAAACCCGCCATTCGCTCTGAGGGAGAAAGATGCAGTTTTCTGAAAAAATCTGAAGAAGGTGTAAGATTCATGTTGGACAACATGAAGAGGAATAACTTAAGAATTATCAGCATTCCAGAACAAGAAGAATCCCACAAGTCCACAGAGGAAATAGTTGAAGAACTGCTGGAAGAAAATTTCTCTAACATCCTGAAAAGTGAAAAGATAAACATTCAACGAGAATCCGCAAGGATTCAAAGCTCACCAGCTGTTCCTCGGAAACCCTATACAGGGTCGCTATGGAATCAATTCCTTGACACTTAACAGCAAAGGATTCAAAGTCTCAGAAACCCTATAGAGGGTCACTGTGAGTCGGAACTGACTCGATGGCACTTAACAACAATGTGTTTGACTTAAATCAAGGTAGATTCTCATTGTTCATCTGGTGAATACTTGGTAAGTTCCAAGCCACATTCTAGGCTGCAGACGAATTCACTGGAACCTCACAGCATCCTGCGAGGTAAGAACCAGTATCCTCATTTTCCAGATGTGGGAGCCAATTGGCACTGTGTCTGCTCTCTCCCCATTTCAGGCTTTCTGAGATGCAAACATCTTACTGGCCACCTGCAGCTCATATTCTCTTAAATTGTCTATTTTCTGCGTTGTGCCCTTTTTGATTGATCTGTAAGAACTCATCACATGTTAGGGAATTTCAGTGCATCTCATGGGCTCACAGATATGTCTCCTTGGCTTGTTATCTGTGATTTATTTATTGAGTTTGTGTCTCTAGTGCAGACAATTTGCCGTCCACTTGTTTCTACGGTGTGTTTTCAGCTGTGTCCACAGTGCCCCCTCTGCAGTATAAATACCAACCACTTTCACTTCGAGGGTCCTGGTGTGAGTAGGCGCTGAAGAGGGGGCTACCCATGCTGAGAACCTGGGTGCGAGTGGACACTGTGCTGGGGCTGGGTGTGACTGAACCTCAGAGGCCTGACTCCTGAGGCCCCGCTGTGCTCAGCTTCCCAATCACCAGCCGGAGTAGTCTAGGTTTGGGGGTCAGATGGAGTCCAGGCCCAGTGTGGGCAGTAACCTGACCAACTTCAGGCCCATTCCCACTCCCCTCACCCGTGAGGTCTTGGAAGTTCTGGTGGGACCGTGGAGGGGCTATACCACACAGGGCTGTCAGGGGACCCCCGGACAGTCAGTCAGAGCAGTTTGTGGGGGGGTGGGGGGTGGGGGTACACATGAACCACAGACGAGGTGAGTGGTGTCGAGTCTTCTCTCCAGATGTTCACACGGGCAGGGCAGACAATCACCTGCACACACGCAGCTGGACCATGTGCACCCTTCCAGATGAAACTCCTACTCTGAAGCCAATGCAACACCAAGCAGTTACAGCTTGGCGGTGACAGTGCCCGCGGGCGGGGGGTGGGGGGGTGGGGCACATCCTGGGTGGGGCCAGGAGAGCACTCTCTTCAGGGGTAAAGGGGATAGATGAGGGAGATGGGGGGCAGAGGTGAAGAGAACAGAGGAGGGGGACAATGGAAGGCCAGAGGTGGGAACAAAGGCAGGGCCAGGTGGGAGGATGGGGGGCAGAGCTGTGTTCAGAGGTCGTGGGGCAGGGGCAGGGGGACAGAGTTGGAAGGATAGAGATGCGGAGACAGCTGGGGGTCATAGGCGGCAGTGATTGGCAGGGACCAGCAGATGGAGGCCCGTCCGTGTCAGAGGTCAGACACACAGAGCTGGCCCTGACAGGACCGGTGGCTCTCCTGCCCTCTCTGCTCTCAGCAGGCTACACAAAGTTAACCTGACTGAATTAATTTCTGCTTTGAAATTTTTGTTGATACTGTATGTTTTTCATTATGGAACACATGTTGAAACAAAGGGGGAAACGTGGGGAAGGGCAGTATGGCTTTCCATACAATATGTGGGACACATCTGTCCCAAGTGAGCTCTGGTAGTAGGGCTGATGGGGTGAGGCCTGCTTCAGATTCATGCAGCAAATGCTACAAGTGGGACAGAAGCTTCCCAGGAAACCCGAGAGGCTGAAAATGCTGATGGGTGAAGATACCCCCTGGGTCACGAAAGGTTTAGACTGAGCAGGAACCCACAGCCCAGAGTCCAAGGGCTCAGCGTCTGAAGGGACAGGGCTGGCGCTCAGAGACCGTGTGTGAGCACACACCTCATGGGTTAGTGCAACTGTTTTGTCTGTATTTTATTCTCTTTCACGCAACAGAACACGTTTGGCTGTGGCGGCAGCTCTGAGCCGGACGCGGCTGCTCCGGGGAGTCTGCCTCTCAGGCCGGCAGTGGCGGTTTGGCAAGGCCAGCCCGGCGGGCGGAGGGGGGCCCGGCCCCATCTCTTTGGTATCCTGACAGGTGCCCGCTCCGCATGCCCCACAGGGTGGCCCGGGGACGCTCTCAGACGCTCGGCCGGGAGGGGAGGTGCAGCAGGGAACGGGGTGCAGCTCACTTCTTGTAGTGATTGGGGGCATCTGCAAAGGCGAACTTGAGGCGGTAGGCCTCAGCCAGCAACAGGCTCACGTCCTCGTCACCCCAGGTGGCAGTGGGCAGGTTCTGGAGGAAGAGCAGCAGCTCCTACAGGAGAGACAGGCCATCAGGGGGCGCCGAGTAAGGGGGTCTTGGGGACACGCACCCACCAGGGGGTCAAATCACAGGGAACCGTAGCTCTCCAGCTCCCAACCTCGGGCCTGGAGCATGATTAGGGCGAGCTGACCCCACCCCCAGTATGCACAGCTGTGAGCGTTCAGGGCATAGATGGTGCTGTGTGACCCTGGTGGGCAACTCACCCTCTCTGGGACCCTCTCTCATTTGTCAGATGGGGAGACCAAGCACCCCCAGCCCTTCCCCATGCCTCAGCCTCGGTGGCTCACAGCCACCCTCTGCAATCACACAGAGCAAAATTTACCTACCAGGCATTGTTGCTAATTGCTGTTTTATTATTGCTGGGCGTCGCTTTATCTCCCCCCTCCCCCTTCCTCCATTCCATTTACTTTTGCATTTTGGATACTTTCTGTGGGCCTTTAAATTGAATTCACGGAGCAAATTTCACTGGCAAAATGTCCCCGGGGACATATCAACATCAATCTGTTGTCTTTCACCATTAGATGAGACTTACACGGGTGCCAATCCAATTCTGAGCAGGTCATAAATAAATACCTTTGGTTTTATTTTTAATCCACTTCGCTTCATATTATCATGACCTCGCTACTTGCAAGGTGAGAACCAATACCCCGCCATTACGGGAACTCACTGGCAACTCGGCACACTCAATTTCAGAATCTAATTTAGTCCCCGGGATCACTGGATGGAGGGGGAGTAGAGATGCCTGGCGCCTCGCAGCCGGCACTGCTAAAGGAGGGAAAATCTATCTGCTGACCTTTACGGAGACAGAGAACACAGCAGACGCTCCCTTAAATACAGATTTCTCTTTTTAAAAGGCCTGTCCATCTGTGCACCCACCAAAGGTGCCTCTAGTCCCCCAAAACGGCGCATTGGTGGGCTGTGAGCTGCGTGTGGTTCTCCACTCTGTCCAGGTGAGGGGTCGTGGTTCATGGAGGGGCCACTTGGGCTGCCGTTAGCAGCAGTGGGCAGAAGGAGCGACAAGCTACAGGTGAAAGGGGGCTTTGTCCTAACTTTTTCTCCAGCAGGGCTGTGACATGGGAGTGGACACAAAGCTTATAGGAAGGTCAGCTCCCAGAGGGACCTTGTAACAAAACTAGGAACCCACTGTCCACCACCCGGACGCCCCTTTCTCCCAGCTGCTGTGGGTGGAAATGGTTTTGAGTCTTTCTTGTGGACCACCTCCCATGTGAAGGGGGATTCCCCAGCTACCCTCAGTGAGGGGACGGCATTGTACGCCCCTGTGTCAGCTGTGAGAGGTTTGGAAACAGCTATGATCAGGCCTCACTCCGAGATGACCTATCTCAGGATCTTGGCAGGGGGCTGAGTCCTGGCTTAACTGTGTTGTGGCAATGTGGGTGCCCTTGTCTTCTTCTGTGGTCCCCTCACCGAGGTGCAGCTGTAGGGCCTGGTGGGATGGGTGCCCAGCCTCCTGCTGGGCCTGCCGGGTGCAACCCACGGGTGACAGAGGAGAATACTCGCAGGAGCTGAGGCCGTGGTTAGGGGAGAAGATCTCCAGGTCTTTCCTCTCACAGACCCGCTGGTGGGTTCGAACCACCAACCATTCGGTTAGCAGCCAGGTGCTTAACCACTGTACCACTGGGGCCCCTGCTGGATTTAAAGTCCCCGGGGAGTGTTTCCAGAGTTGATGCCCACAAGCAATACTGCATGAGCACCTTGACTACAGAAAGTCTCCCCGGGGCCCAGAAGGGGCTCTGGTACTGCCCAGCGTGGGCTGACTTTGGCACAATGCTAACTTCTAGTTTCCTCAACTGTGAAAGAATACATTTCTATTCATTAAAGCCGTGATTTCTGTTTTAGAAGCACTAGATCCCTGGTGGCCCTGTGAGTCAAGTGTTAATCTGCTAACCGCAGGAACAAGATGAGGCAGTCTGCTCCCATGATCCCTAGGGAGCAGATCTCCTCTGCCTATAGGGTCACTCTGCGTCGGAACCGACTCGATAGCACTGGGGTTATATAATTAAAAGAAGTCCTAATAATACCAATAGTAATTATTCCTGTTGTTGTTGGTAAGTGCCATTGGGTTGGTTCCAACTCACAGTGACCCTGTACAGTATTTCTGAGGCTACAAATCTCTTCAGGAACAGAAAGCCTCATCTTGCTCCTACAGAGCAACTAATGGGCTCGAACCACCAACCTTATAGTTCACAGTCCAGTGCTTAACATACAGAGCCACAGCATTCCCCATAGTCACCATCATCACCATCATCACCATCATCATCATGATTAGCAGCAGCCGCTTTAACAGTCGTAGTGCTTTAGTGGCTACGTAAAGGATTTCGACTGCGTGGATCCTGACAAGTTATGGGCATTGTGGGGAACGAGTATTCCGGAACACTTCACTGTGCTCAAGAGGAACCTGCACAAAGACCATGAAGAACAGAACAAGGGGATACAGAATGGCTTAACAATCAGGAAAGGTGTGTGCCAGGGTTCTATCCTCTCACCGTACATATTCACCATGTATGCTGAGCAAATAATTCAAGAAGTTGAAATATATGAAGAAGAACGTGGCATCAGGATTGGAGGAAGACTCATTAACAACCTGCGATATGCAGATGATACAACCTTGCTTGCTGAAATATTTACTGAGGAAATCAAAGAGCACAGCCTTTGCTATGGGCTGCATGTCAATTCAATGTAAAGAAAACAAAAATCCTCACCACTGGATCAGTAAACAACATCATGATAAATACAGAAAAGATAGAAGTGGTAAAACATTCCATTTTGTTCAGATCAACCATCAACACTCACGGCAGCAGCCGTCAAGGAATCTAACAATGTACCGTGTAAGGCAGATCTGCTGCACAAAACCTCTTTAAAGTGTTTATGAGCAAAGATGTCAGTTTGAAGAGTAAGTTGCACCTGACCCAAGCCATGGTATTTTCAATTGCCCCAAATGTATGTGAAAATTGGACAATGAATAAGGAAGACTGCAGAAGAATTGATGCTTTTGAATATTAAAAGTACCATGAACTGCCAGAAGAATAAACAAATCTGTGTTGGAAGGTGAACAGTCAGAATGCTCCTTAGAAGCCAGGATGGTTAGACTCCACCTCTCATACTTTGGACATGTTATCAGGAGGGACCAGTCCCTGGAGAAAGACATTTCGCTTGGTAAAGTGGAGGGTCAGTGGGAAAGAGGAAGACCTTCCCCCAATGAGATGGATTGGCACAGTGGCAGCGGCAATGGGCTCAAGCATAGAAACAAATGTGAGGTTGACCCAGGCCCAGGCAGTGTTTCCTTCTGCTGTGCACAGGGGGTCACTATGAGCTGGAACTGACTCAACAACACCTAACAACAGCAGAAATACATGATCATCTATGAAAATGGCAGAAAACTGAAACCTCGAGTCCGTTACAACTCATAGCAACCTTGTCTGTGGTTTCTGAGGGTGGCTGGTGGGTTTGAACTGCCAAACTTGCAGTTAGCAGTCCAGTGCTTATCCTACAGTGCCACACCAGGGCTCAACAAGTAACTGTGGCAACTAAGAAACAGAAATGTCACCAGTCTCCCAAAGGCGATGGGGGTGTCGTGCTCTCTGTGGGGGATCTCCAGGAAACCTGAGCAGATGCAGTTCTTCATATACAGGCCCCGAGACAAGCGGAGCTGGTGTGACTTCAAATCTCCTCTGAGGATCGAGTGTGCATGGGGAGCAGGCTGTGGGGTGGCTTCTTCCCACAGGAGGCTGCCCATGAGTGTGGCCATTTGTGGGTGTCCTTCAGACCTGAAGTAGGCTCCAGCCCCTGGCTCTTATTCACACATCTGTCTACACAGAGGGCACTGCCTCTGTGCTCACCATTGTTCCAGCTCCAGGGGCTCAGAGCACAAGGAGACCTCTCTGCCCCATGAGTGTGTACACATGAGGGTACGTACGTGGATGTGAGTGTGTGTGTGTAAACGTACGTGTGTATGTGTGTAGATGGTGCTTCTGTACACGTGTGCATGTGTATATGTGTGCATATGTGTGTGTGCACTAGTGTGAGGTGTGCAACATGTGGGTGTGCCTGTGTGTCCATTTGCACATATGTATGTGTGCACATGTGTGTGCATGCATGCATGTGTGCGATCTTATACGTGTGTGCATGTGCGTATGCGTGCTGGTTGACTTATACATGTGTGCGTGTGTGTGTGCACGCGCACAGGTGTGAGGGTGTAGGTATGTGTACATGTGTGGCTGTGCCTATATACATGTGTGCACATGTGTATATGTGTGTGTGCGCATATGTATGTGTGCACAAGTGTGAGGGTGTGGGTCTGTGTGTACTCGTGTGTGTGCCTGTGCACACATGTGTGCATGTGCACGGGTTGTACATGTGTGAGTATGTGTCAGTAAGCAGACAAGCAGAACCTCAGAGCAGACCCCTGTGGAGTGCTCTGCAGAGAAGCGTCCCCTGGTGAGGCCCTGGCAGCTCGGTCCTCGCAGGACAAGCTCTAGACTCAATCTACTCCCAGGGAACAACAGGATGGAGATTGTCTACTGAATCACTTCTGTGCTGATTCCAGGGACAAGGGGGCATTTTCTGGATATACTAGATGGAACAAAAGGTTTTATGAGCATTAACCTCATCTGCTTCTTTTATGTTTTTAGGGGGGTGGCAAGAGCCTGTTGTGTTCCCCATGGGCCTCATTTCTCTCTGGGGGTGCTTCTTGGAGAACTATTGCCCCCTGCTCTGACCAGAGACCCTCTTGGACCCGCTGTGATCACAAGACAGAAGGGACATGCGCATGCCACAAACACGCCCACCCCTGCCCGCCAGCACCGCAGAGCACACGGAGGCCTACTTAAAAGCCACTCAAGTCAGAAGTTTACAAATTGTCGAGATGTGAAGATGAGCAAATTAATCGTGATGGGGCTAAAAGGGCCCATTTGACTCTATTATGATCTCGCTGTGTTAACTAGAGGGGAATCGGGAGCCGCTGCGCTGACATG